TACAACTTATTAAAGCTCGATGTTTGAATTCGTATAAATAATTGCGGATAAACATAATCAAATAGAGGATGAATATATCTCATTTTAAAATATAAAAAATCTAAAATATAATTACAGTAATTATCGAATTCCAACAAAATAAATAATTATTATCTTTATAAAAAAATTATATTATTAAACCAAATATAAATTACTTCGTTATTGTACATAAATTAAATTATAAAAAAATTGAATTAAAAAATTACACAAAAAAATGAGGAATTTCAAATAGTAATTTGATACTAATATCGATATATTTTTGTCAAATTTTTATGATATCTTCAAACATATATTTATTCAAAAATAAAAACATCATTGATTTCTTAAAATCACATAAAACCATATTATAACATTGACTGAGATAAAGAATAAAATGAAATATTAAAATCACGATGTATCTCGCTGCATTGCGCGAGTACGCTTCTAGTAGAACTTATAAACATGTATTGTTTTATAAAAATGCAGTTAAACAATATGATATAGTTTTATATGATAAAGCTATATATATTATGCCGATTCTTAGAACATATTCAATATGTTCTTCTTCCAAAATTTGAGATTTATTCATTATATCTCCTCTATTTTCTCTATTTTAGAGAAGTGAAACAATTTTTCCCTCAAATCTCTAAAATTTCTCAAACTTCAATCTAATAGATGTAAATAAAAAATATTCATATAAAATGGAGTAAACTGATTTATAAAAATCTAATATTTTGATAAAGAGGGGGAGTGACTTTACCCAAATATAAGACATGTCCCGAGTTCAAACCCCTCCCCCCTTCAGGCCACTAGTCTCAGCCTTTGAGTGGTACAAAAATGCCTCTTCAGGGGGTGTTTGGTTCCTAGAATGGAATTTGATGGAATTGAAATCCATTAAATGAATTTGACTTTGAAAAGATTGTAATGGAATTTTATGGAATTTGATCGCGCATTTGGATAGGAATTGAAATGAAATCTCTCAAAAGAATTGGAACAATCATCTTTGTTTGGATTATCGCACCCATCGCTCCGCCATATCCTACCAACCACCATGTCACTATTGTCGTCGTCACAGCTATGACTCCGCCCCACCTTACCCAAACCCTGCACCACCACTCCTCCCTACCCTTTCTCCATAGGTGGGGCTAGAGTGGGGCGGTGAGTGATAGAGTGGTAGCTGTGACGACTACAGTCGTAGGATGGTAGTTAGTGGTGGGTTGGAGTAGGGTAAGGGTGAGGTGGGGGGCAGGGGGGATGGTGAGGTGGGTAGGGGTTAAGATAGGGGCATGATAGTAACAATAGTAGCATTGTCGTATTAGGGATGTGCAGTGAGTGACCG